AGCAGGAATTACTGATGATTTCATTGTGGATATTACACAGAGCATAAAGTATCTAGGGATTCATAATATTCTTTCTACTATTTAGAAATAGCAGTGTTTTGTCAGACTTAGTATAGTATAATGTATTTATTTCATACATTATTAAATTCATTGTGGTATAAGCAGGTACGTGAATTGTGTTTGGTGTAGCAGTTAAGAGCCAGTTTGGTGAGTGGTTAAGAGCGGCGGACTGTAATCTGGAGAACTAGGTTCGATTCCCCACTCCTCCTCCTCCACATGCAGCCAGCTGGGTGACCTTGGGTCAGTCACAAGTTCTCTCAGAGCTGTTCTCTCAAGAGCCGTTTTCTTACAGCTCTCTCAGCCCCACCAATCTCACAGGGTGTTTGTTGTAGGGAGAGGAAGGGAAGGAGATTGTAAGCCACTCTGAGACTCCCAGTGAGGGGCCAGGTAGAAACCCAGCTTTGCTGCTTCTGCTGCTGCTGCTGTCAAAAAGGGGGGGGAAAGGCTTGGGGACCCCTGCTATAAACAGAAGCAAATAGACTGAGGTGGGGAAAAGTATGTATGTATTGAACACACGAGGATCACAGAAGATTCCAAGAGCCTTTTGTGGGGTTCAGGACTATGTAGCAGTCCCAGTTCCCAAGGGCTTCCTTTCAGCGCTTCCTCAGCTGCTCTAAGGATCCTTTCCGTAGGATGGGTCTAAGGTGTGCTGTCCCACGCACTGGTACAGTCTTCTGTGGACTGTTGAGTTTGTCCAGTTTGAGCAGGGAGGAAGCTCTGTCGGAATTCTCCCCATAATCCCCTCAGTAGGTGAACGGCGTTCAGTGGCCAAATGTTCAGTGGCTCAAGATAAGGGAAGAGTTCTGGCAGGGCCTTTGGTTTCAAAGAGCCATTAGCTCCTGTCTCAGCTCACCAGGAATGCATCAGGTGGCTGAGCTAGTGGAGGTGGTGTTCGGTTTTTGCCATGAAATTGCAGCTGACCCTGTAGGCCTTTGAAGGCAAGAGACATTCAGAGGCGATTTGTCATGCTTGCCTCTGCATAGCAGCCCTGGCCTGCTTTGCTGGTCTCCCATGCAAGCACTCACCAAGGCTGACCCCGCTTATCTTCCAAGAGCTGATGAGATCGGGCCAGCATGAGCCATTCGGGTCAGGGCAAGAAGCATTTTTCTCCTCCTAAAAGAGGAAAGAAAGAGGTCATGGGAGTATTTTAGCTCCCCCCCCCCCAATTTTTTCATTGGAAAAGTTGGAAAAAAGTGTGGAGGGGGAATGGGAAAAAGCTTTCGTCTTCTGAGTCGTCCATCGTTGTCGTCGCCCCCCCCCCCCCCCCCCCCCCCCCCCCCCCCCCCC